CTTTGTTAAATGCGACACTTGTAGCATATTTTATAGGTATCAGGAATACAGTGATTGTATCCACAATTTTGATGATGTTTTTCTGATTGGGTTAGACTTTTGCAATCTTCTGCGTGTCTAAAGAATCACTTAGCCATAGGCAAAATATGTGCTGTGGCAGAGGCTGTATTGAAGACCAAGATCTATAGCAACCTCACTTTGAATTCCTATTTGCATTTTGAATGCTTTATCGAACAAAGTTACAAGTTTAACTGCTTTTTACCCCCATATCTTGATCGCTGATGTTAATCGTAAAATTGCATTTAAGTATACTCATCCTGCTCAAAACGATTTAAATGAAGATGATGCGGATGAAGTTGATTCTCTAGAATTTTGGGATGACGTTGCAATGGAGATTATGTTAAAAAAAACTAGACTCTAAAAGTGGGTCCGAATCTGCCATATTGGGCACCTTTTTTAGGTTAAAAGAGTAGGATAGGAATATAATTTATAATTGCAAGCACCTTAAAGTTCATAGGGCTGATTAAAATGTTGAAGTGGAATGTAGAGAGATGTCTGAAGAGAGATTGATGGAAACACTGCTTGAGCGCTCATCCAAGGACGTATGATTGCTTGTGGAAAATTAGGTGTGTCCTCAAAAGGAACGAAACTCTATATTATAAATGACATCATAACTGGTCTTGGTAAGAACAATCTTAAATTTTTCGGAAAACGTTTGGATTTTCTGGTGGTTTGTTGACAGTATCATCTGATCAGGGAATAATATATGCACTCAAAATTCTTGCTTCACTCTGAAAGTCCAAGAGACTATATCACAGACTGACTGAAATACAGGTCAAAAATATTTATAAATGACATGGACCACTTGTTGCTGCATTTGGCAAAATAAATTTTGACGGTTTCTTTTCACCAAAAAAAGGCAGTGCTGCAAAGGCTACTGAGGAGAACTTTCAAATGGCAAATGAAGGAGCCTTACAGCTATCGTTTCCTTGGATTAATTCATCTGCAAAGCTAGAAAATCTGATCACCGTTAGTGCATACCATTTGGCCCTTTTTGACTGACTTCATGAGGGAAACAGCTTTAATGAAGTTGAGGCACTGTGAAGAATAGCTTGGATCAATGAGCTCTGTTGTCAAAATAATAGTCAAGTTGCAGAACAAATTCACGGCTTGTTCAACCTAAACAGATACTTTCTCAATAAAATGTCTCCATCTAATCATATATTTATGTTCCGTTCAATCATTGATTTGACAAAGGAAGCCCAAAAACAGGCAAGTTATTTCTGAAGTGGGAAGGAGAATGAGACCTGTTGCTAAATACGATAACTTTGGTCCTGCAATTCTTGCCCATTCGAGAGAAGAGGACCAAGTTGATGAAGACTATAGCTCAGACGAATCCGATGACAGCTCCTTCATAGGGACAGCATCTGTAGATCCAATCCCATGCTTTGTAAAAGATTAATTTTCTAAGGAAAACCAACCATCAAAACCTGACTATGAAGAATTTGTCAACAGTTTGTACAGTCCGGCATTCGCCTGAATCATTCCTTATCTCCAAACAAAGTTTTGAAACCCAGCTAAAAAATAGGTGTCCGCAAAATATCAATATCTGAAAATAAAGAGGGGCCTATTGATGATCTTTTTCCCTTAGACATCAAGGAACCCCTTGATTCTGACAATGCTATTGTAATATCTGATTATGACCTTGACTGCTGTAATGTTATTGATAGTCATAATATGGTAATACATCCGACAGCTAATATTCTCTCGATTGATACCACCCCAAATATCAGTAACATTGAAAATCCAGAGGCTAAAAGTGCAAAAGTTGAGGAGCGTAAAATTAATCTAAATGAAATCTAAATGAGTTTACCCTTGAGTTGCTCTGTAATTAATGCTGCAATGGATATCTTGCACCATCAGTTTCCTAGTCCAGAGGGATTGAACCTCATTTTTAATCTTAATAAAATGTGGGGCATCGCTCCGTCCCAACATTGTTCAATTTTCTTGCAGTTATCAACAAACAAGTATCACTTTCCTTGGAAAAGAAAAAAGGTAGAAGGTATGACGATTCTTTCAAAGCTTGGGCTCTATCACATCTATTCATCACATCAGTGGTAAGGCTTATAGGTTTCTTGCAAAATTGCTGAATTTGCCATCCAAATCTTGTTTGACAGGCATGGTCTCTAGATTTGCACCAGATCTGAGGTTTTCTGAAAAGTCAATCTTTCTTTTAAAACAACAAGTAAATGCCATTTATCAATACTCAATGATAAAAAGTTACAACCATTGTATGCCATGATTATAATCGATAAAAGTAATAGCTTTCGAGTACACTGAAGAAAGTTATGTAGTTCATGTTGGATTCATATCAAACATGAGAGTTCTAGACCATGAGAAAAAGAGCCTAGGAAATATTTAATCGAGACCCATTAGTCGATGAGATCCAAAATTGTATGGCAAGAAAATTTTAACATTTGATCGTAAATAAATACAAAAACTTCTGGGAGTAACATCCTGAAAATGTGTCAAAGAGATAAGAATTGGTTGCGGCAAACAGAAATATGTTGTTGTCAAGCTTTGAAGAACATTTCACAATAAAGAACTAAGCTTCTAGATTAGCCTGCAAAATATTGAAACAAGCCCAATGAGTCATCCGGGAAAGAATGAATGAAGTTTTATGAAAAATTTAAGAACACAAACTCTAATAGACCTGGGCTTGCAAATTTTTTTAAGCAACTTTCAATTAATGAAAGACTAGCTCCCCTACGAAGCCCGCTATGCGGGCTTGCCAGTGGCCCTACGTTAGGGTACATAGATTAGCCTCGGAAAAGACAGCGAAGTATTAACCTCAATTTGAAAAAATTAGCTTCGCACAGGTCACATGATAAAAACATTACTCGCACTGCTGTGACTATCGCTTGGAAGGGGGGAGCCTCTACCCCTGCTCCTTTCAGGCGACCCCCTGACTGGATGATAACAATACAGTTGTTTTTCACACAATAACATTGTGTTATGTAAGCATCCTCTACAGGGGGTCACCTTCTTTCCTCATGGTCACAATGGCAGCCAAACAAATTATTTTTCCTAGCATTTATTTTTACAAGTAACTTCACGTGGTCAGTCTCAGGTCAACTAATGGTACATCAGCACAAAAATAATGACATAGCATATACAAGTATCATAGAACCTCTCTCTTCTTTCTCACAAAACAATGTCTTTAAATATTTGTGTTGATGTCCCCCTTATCTGTTGGGTGGTTTAGTATGTTTTTTCTATTCTAAAATAGATTTATTTTTTCCATTTAGTAGGAAAAATGCGAGTAGTGTTTTGAATAGATATAATTAGAATGTCTCATACAATTGCCTATAAAATTGGGGTTTATCTACTCATAACGATTAATTGGCACCTGCAACTGAAGTACGCTACTTTGAAATAAGACAAAAATTTAATAATGAAGTTTGTGAAAGTTACACATCGGGGTCACACTAAGGTATGTTTACAGATAAATGTATCAATATATTCTTGTTTAAAAATATTTTTTTTAGAAGAAGGGGCTGCTTCATATAAATTAATGGTAGCCCCTCGATTTGAGATCAACAAGGATATGGAGTTCCTTTTCACCGATGATCAAAACCGCGAAATTGAACGCATCAAGTAACTTACGTTACGTTGTCTTTTCGGTTATATTCTGTTTTGCATTTGATAATTTTGTCCAACTTTAAGCATTTCTCAACAAAAAATTAGTTATAGTTTTTATGAATCAATTATTCTTCTTTTTAGAGCAGATAGGACCACACTGCACAACCGAGTCACGGGCAAACAGCGGAAGAAAGCCAGGGAGAATAAAAAAAAACATGGGCAAGGTGACTAATACTACATGATACTTGAGTGATTTTGCCTTGTCAATGAAGCCCTTTGCACGTCTGACAAAGTATATTACTGATTTTGGATGGACCTTGAAAACTTTGGGAGCTCAACACGCTTTATATCAAGAGCACTGGACACTTTGGGATTTAACACTTGGCTAAGCCCCTGAGTCTGACCGCTTCCATAGTCCCTGTCATTAGCCTGTGCCGTTTTCACGTGAATCATAATTCTATGATGAAAAAAAGAGGTATTTTTCATGATAGTTTTATTTATTTGTTTATTCATCAATAATTGCAGTGAACTAACTATTTCTATAAATTTTCAGCACTGATCACAGAGCCCGGATCAAGGCTCCCAGAACCCGGATCGGAACCGATGCGAACAAAAAACAAAAATTTAAAGATAAAAAAAATAATAGAGGAGGGGTGATCAAAAATGTTTTAATTTTTAATAATTGAGGAAAAAAGTTATAACCAAAAAACGTGTTTCTTTTTATGTCTTCTGTCTCTTCACTATCGTTACTCAGGGCCAAGAAGGCCGTAATGTAAGTCACTGTTACTATAATTCACTTCCAAACATTTTCAGAACCAATTCCAAATAATCCCAATATCATAAAGTTGTATGAATAAATCTACCAATGAGTATTAAGCCTTCAATAAATATGAAACATTTATTTCAGTAACAGTTCAGCTTCAAGGGGGTAAGACTATAATCTAACTGTGGTACGATGTTTGACTTGTATAAGGTAAGAATATCCAATGGGAATTGAAATTCTGTCAGACATACTTTGTTGAGTTTTCCTGGATACAGTTTCCTGGGATTCATCGAACTATGACAAAAAATGGAAAACATCTTCACCCACTGGTTATTCTAATACCCTGATTGTGCGGTACTTTATAACACAACACGGTTCTCGTGCAGGCCATTGATTTGCATACATTGAATGAAGAATGACAGGGAGCTCTTTCAATTGCTTGCTTATATAAATATATATATATCCAAATGTAACACCGTCACAGCACACAATCCGTGTACAAGTTGAAAGTAGCACCACAAATTGCGAAGTGAAAAGTCGAATAAGAAAGAAGGTACTTCATCATTTGCTTTGTTCTTTATTTTTAAATAGTTTGAGAGAAACTGTGTAATTGGAGTTTGGTGGGGGGGGGGGCGTGTAGAGTAATGCGATGGTACTGTGCAGAAATACACCTTCATTTAAGGTAAATTTATACAATAATTATCTTGCAAACAATAGCTCATAAATTTTTCAATTATAATGCACTCTTTTATAATAAAACAGGGTTGACACTTTGTACACCAGTTTCATAATGCTGTGGCAAATTATTTTGAAATTGGCTGTTTGTTCACTCTATTCTTCAATTATTCTTCTTTTTAGAGCACATAGGACCACAGTGCACGTCCGAGTCATGGGGAAACAGCGGGAGAAAGCCCGGGAGAATAAAAATAAACATGGGCAAGGTGACTAAAGGCCGGTTTACACGATCATATTCAGGTCATATTTGCATCACATGTTTTATGTGATCACAGAATGTGATCATGTAAACGACTTTACAAGTTGCTTGAAGTTGTACGAAGCAGCATGAATTAATCCTTTTTAATTGCCTGTTAATTTGATGTCACAGATTATTCATTTGACTAACGATCAAATGGAAAGTCTGTGATGCAATTTTTTCTAAGGCACCGACAACTCTTTGCTGCCCTGGGTAGATCATATATTACTTTAAGCACAATCTCGCCATTGGCAAATCCTGTTAAAGAGTGTCTAACTTATCATCTTACTGTGAAAAAGTAGTTTAAGCCATTGGAGATCGGATGGAAGTATATCCAAAACATTATTAACACTGCCAGAAATATTGTACCAACCATACTATAATAGAAAAGTATGTCAGCAATTAAGTCAAATTTTCTAATAAGCCAAGTTTCAATTCATTTGAATGGAACATACAGAAAATGTTAGTCACCACCGTCCTGAGCATCACCCCATGGGTTCTTTTGATTGGAGACCACTCATAGAGACACCTAATGATATAGAGTGCGTTGCAAGTATACTTAAGTGCATTATGATGGCTCAAGCTCAGGTTCTACAACTGCCAACAATGCAAAAATTTGAGTCCTTCAACTTGATGGAAATTTGGCATCGATTGAAAGACAACGAGGAGGCTAGAATTGCATGGTGCAGGCTGCTTTTGACAGAACAAGAGTGTGATCTACACTAGGTACCTTGTAGAGAAGGTCTGTAAAGACGCAGCATTGATGGCGTCATTTGGAGATGTCCAAATTGTAGAAAAACGATAAACATCCGAAAAGGCAGCTTTTTCGAGGGTGTGGCATTTGAAGCTGTGGCAGGTTGACATACCTGTCGGCTTCAAGTGCAGGCTGCTCGATGGGGCTGTCTGTCTTGCAGACGATGAGGGAGTTGAAAATTAAGTGGAGAGCACACAATTGTTGACTAGAATCAGTTTTGTCGAGACGTGGCTGTCCAGTTGTTTGCTCGATGTTGAAATCGATGAAAATCTGTTTGCTCGACAAAAGTACGAGCGTGGCCACCTTGGAGAGAGCAGTGGATACTGGGCGGGTACGAGGCAGAGACAAAGAAAGTTTCTATGCTGCTTCCTGTTACCGGTCCCTGCAAGGGACCAAGCTACATTACTGCCGATCATCCAGCAGTGGGTGGAACCGAACACAACGATATGGACGGATATGTCTGCAGAATATCCGAACCTGCCACAGCTTGGGTTTGCCCTCGGCACGGTTAACCACACCTTGAATTTCGTAGCAAGTAACAGGGGTAACATGAACAGAGTGGAGGAAATGTGGCAGAGGGCCAAAGCAAAGTTCAAGGCAATGTACGGTCCAACAAACCGAGAAATGGTGGAAGAATACCTTTCTGAATTCATATGGAGCCATCAATTTAGCGACAACCAATTTCTTAATTTATTTCCTTAGTAATTATAAGTTCTTTAAACTTATTAATTATTTTTCTTAATTTAATCTAACTTAATCTATTTTAATTTATTTAATTTTAATTTATTCTCGCAGGGAGATTCGTAAAAAGGAGAGGCTCTTTAAACGAGCAAAAAGGTCTGGCAACTACCTTGATCCTGTTAAATTTAAAGCTCAAAGAAAGAAAGTGAAACATATTATAAAGAAAGCTCATTATGATTACAGTCTTGCAAGTACAGCCTTACAAGTATCTGGGTGTATATATTTGTAACGATATGCGTTGGAATTAGACAGTTGATCTGGTAGTTGGGAAAGCAAACAGATCCCTTGGATTACTGCAGAGAAATTTTTCTACTTGTTCACGGCAAATAAGAGAAAAACTTTATTTTGCGCTTGTGTAATTTTGATGATGATGATGGTGACAATAATAAAAAATTTTCGAAATTCCAAAATGCATCATCTTTGTTTATTTAAAACTATTTATTTAAAACTGTTTATTTATATAAAATATAATTTACTTCTGAAACAATTATTAAGTATGAGAATAATTTAACAAGAACCCATTGCAAGTATGGATGTATTGGAAAGATTGAAACAGTTATTGATCGATTGTGCTTTGGATACCATCAAGGCTTTTTTTCTCGCTGACTAGAGAATGGTTACTTACAAGTCTGCCAGGAGAGCCTAGAGGCCAGAACCAGATCGTAACACACAACCTTCGACATTTATTATGGCAAAAGAATTGTTTCATTTTGCTGACTGGACCGTGCTGAAAGGGAGAGGGTCAGACTCTAAGGTACTGCTGATAAATTCTATATAGGGGTTCTTTTATGCTGCTGCTACTGGACTGGGCCTAGCGACTCAGGTGGTAAATTACTGCAAAAAGTTTGTTCTGTTTGCAGACTGGCCCCTCTGGATGCTGCTAAAATACTTAATTTTACAACGCTACCTGACCATTTTCTTTCTGTTTTTGTGTAATGTGATTTAAATGTAGAATTCACAAAAATTACATTGTTCTGAATTTTACTAGAACTAAAATATTTATTCAATGATTCAATGGTTGCCTTTCTTTGTAATATAATGTTTATGGATGCATTTTAGTTTGTTTGAATAGCTTTTTAGTTTTAGATAACATGTTATTTATTTGCAAGTTGAATTTCACTTTTGCTGTAATTTAATTTAAAGAACTAACTGTAAAAAAGATAAGAGAGGTTTTAACAGTTAGAGTCATTACTTTCTTACAATCTTGTTACTGATATTGTTACCAAGCAGAATAGGATTTGTTGTGACAGCCTTTGGTGAAAGGTTTTGTGCTATGGTGGTCTGTTGTGTTCTATTTTGAAACACATTTGACTTGTTGCATCTTTGGAAATTTTATGTGGTTAATCATATGAGCTACATGGGCCCTTTTGTCATACACTGCACTTTTGTTTTGGCTGCATCTCCTTTTTTGTTTTATTGATACTAAGCCAATGACGAACAAGGTTTATTGAGAATGCAAAACCAGAAGTCAAAATCTTGAGATATATTTATTTGAACGAGGTGGTACTAGGAACTGAAAATGCTGTCCAATAAAGTATGTTTTACATTAAGTTAGTACCGACAGTAAAAGCAGATAGAATCTGTTTTTAATGCATGTCAAAATGCAGCAATTGGTATGATGTACTGTAGTATGACAGGAGTTGGAGTATTGGAGTAGCTAACTTTGGTTAACATTCCTGTGGAATGAAAGATTATGAAGCCAAAAAATTATATTCATTTTCTTTGGCGTAAGAAAGTGCCTCTGAAAGCTAAGCAAAGGGAAGTTTAGTATAAAGTGTCAGGCCTCAGAAGATTCAAGTTTAAATTTGATGGATCTACTGAATAGACAGTCATCCCAAATAAATTCTTCTTCCATGTATTTCCAAATGATGAACAACAAATCTAAAACAGATATGCAGACTTTGACTTTGATGCAGAAATATTTTACTCTAAAGCAGTGCAATTATCATATGCCTAAAGATTTGATGCGTTTTATATAGTTAGCATCCAGAAAGAAGTTGACTAGCCTTAGCAGTCTATTTTTGTTACTAAAAAGGTTTTTACCCAATTCTTTGTCCAAGTTTCTATGGCTTGTATACTCTGCAAGTGCCTGCATTTCTAGTAATTTCATTAGTCAACTTTTATTAATAATTCTCTTCTATGATGAGTCTTGTGCCCTTAAATTTTTATCAATAATTTGGATGTGCAATTATCATATGCCTAAAGATTTCATGCAATTATCATATGCCTTCTTTCTATAAAATTCCACATGTTAAACCATTAGAAAACCAAGCACCATTTGCCACACACATTTTGTCTTGATCTTTGTGTTATTTTGCTAGTGTTGCTATGCTTATTGAGAAATTCTTTAATGTTGCATCATTGTTGTTTTTTGGGCAATATTATGAGGGGGCAAGCCTATTGTTTTGACAAGGTGACATCACATTTGTCCATTCTTTTTAGAATAAAAGACCCCTGTCTTCCCAAAATGTTGGGGGACAACTGCCCCCCTTCATCCCCTCTGGGTGTCTGCCACTTGTTATTGTTTGTTTTTATTTCTCCTTTTAAAATTACAATAATTTTAATCATTGCATCCATCAAAGAAAGAAAACAATTTCTTGGGCGTTTCCGGGAAATGGGCATGGTCAGTCGGTTATAATGATTTTTGAGAATGTCAAATTTTTGTCTGGACCCGCCCCTGATAGGCAGGATCACCATATATGCAAAGGGGCTGTCCTTCTTCAGTGAAAAAGTGCTGTTCAAGTTGGCCTTATACCTTGACAAAGCGAGCATACCACTGCCGTGCCTGCATCCTTCAACAGGCCCAAAAAGTTTTGCAATAAGGCCATTCCTAACCACAACTGATTGAAATATCAATGCATGGACTCTTTTGTGCCCATTGGCCTGACAGTGCCATTTACAAAACCTCAACAATTTTCTAAGGCAGCCCCCTTTGCATGGATGGCATCTGCATGCAATTTAAGATTTGCTGGGGATAGGTAAGGTTGATCAATGTCCCTTAGGAGATGTGCAGAGTTGCTGTAAATTGTGTTTACAACAGTGTTCAACTCCTAAAGATTTCATAGAGAGTTTAACTTCTAAACTGCTAATTCATAGAGAGTTTAAATTCTAATTCATTCAGGAAAGCTAGTCGGTAATAAATATATAATTTGTAACATTTGTGGTTCAACGCAAAATTTTGGTGATATTTTCCATTTGCTCATTTTAGAAAGAATATCCCTTTTTTCACAGCTCTGCTCCCAAAACACGGGCACTTGAAATGGCCCCCTTTGGTAGTTTTGTCGAGAATATGCAGGTATGCTAGAATTGGATGAAGGGCTACTGCAAAGAGGTGTGTATGAAACATAGGATTCAGACATAAGAAATGACGAAAATAAAAAGGATTTAAAGAAAAACTGAGTTTATTTTTAAAAATGGAATAGTTTTGATAAATTAGCCTTTTTAATAATAAACAAGGACTTTTAACGTAATATTTTTTCAAAGTTATAAAATTGTAAGTTAGATTTTTAACATTTCTTTTCTTTTAAGCAAGACAGGCATTGAAATCAGCAAAATTTTTGCTGAAGCTTTTATCCTGTTGAAATATTCGTATTTTTAGTGATTTACTATTTTCTTCCAATTGTTGTAAACATTGTGTTGTCGATATTTATTTTAAGCAATTACACTTTACTAGAAGTTGATTTATTTCATAGGAAAAGTCTCCAGACGACAAGTGTCCCCAATCACAAGGAAAGCAGAAAAAAGGAAAGGTGAAGCGGTTTCCCTTTCAGTAGCAGTATTGCTTAGCATCTTCTCCATCTAAACTGAATTTTTAACATTCCATCCATACCAAGCTTCTTTTGTACTTTCTAACATGGCATAGGATAAAAACATGAATAGAAAAATCTTACATAAACAAATACTCCTATTTGGCAGTTTCTAGGAGAGAGAGAAAACGGAAAAGCAGGGACAGACAGAAAACAGATGAGAAGAGTTCTAGAAATTGTAGTCAAATAAAGGGTATTGATGTCCGTCTAAACGATCATACATTTGTTGTAACATCATTATATATTTGATTGAAATGTTTGCAAACAAATTTTCGTTCATGTAGAAACTATTGCAAACAAACTTGGCCATGCCCAAAATCTGTCAACAGTTTCAAAGTTGAATCTGCAT